TGCAGTGCTTGTCAGTGTGCATGCGCATACACGGGAGTGGCGAAAAATGGCGCCACCCAGCCACCCAATCTGTTCTCCAGGATCAGCAGTCGCGCACCGGTCCTCCGTCTTCAGGTCTCGTCCACTCCCCACTTTTCCACTCTCCGTGACCAGGCCCCAGGCAGTACCTCTCTCCCAAGTTTTGTCTCAGATGCGGCTGTTTCTCCCTGCCCCTTATTTCCAAAGGACTGCGGCTTTGACCGGCTCTGCCCCTCTGCAGGAGGGTCTCACCAAACGATGGCTGAATGAGCAATGGCCAAATGTCGGCTGCACCCAGGAACACCTGCTGGATCCTGCTGTTGCCAGTGCACAGAGACTGCAGCCAGGTGCCAGCCCACCTCCCAAAAAAATCGTGAGACAGAGTAGCCTCAGCGTTTCAGGGACCATGGAAAATTGCAACACACATCTGGCACCAGGCTTCACCCTCAACAACCTTGCCCCAGCACCAGTGAATGTGGCTGCCTTCCGGGGTCTGCTGGGACCAGGTGGCTTCAACAGTCTCTACCAAATGTCCTTCCAGCAGTGGAACCGCTTTTCCCCATATGGCCCGAGAACCTCCCGGACCCACCAGAGCACTGCCAGATATCGAGCTGCAGAGTTGCAGTCTTTGCGCTCCCCTTGTTTACAGTCTTAATGGAATTTAAACCCTCTCCTTTCTCCCTTTTTAGTTTAGTCCCTGCTGTTTCCAAGTCTCCGTCTCTCTTGGCCCTCAAAAGGGGTTCCCTACCTTTCGGGGTTTCTTGCTCCCCAAGTTCAGCTCTTCGTGTCATGTACCTGCTGAATTCTGTGTTTCAAGTTGTGCAGATTGTTGTGTTAATCTTCCAATCGGTTTTCTAGGTGGGTAGGATGGCTTAGTGTTGGTCTGGCTGTATTTCATGGACGCGAGACACACAAAAAGCTTCCATGCTGTTCCACCATCTTGGCTCCTCCCCATTAAAAAATTTTTTAAAAAACAAAAACAAAAATTCATTGACCTAAGTAAGGTCTATGCACTTTATTATATTTTTGCCTACTGCAATAAAAATTTACAAATTGCATTACAGTTATCTTTATTATATATATCTTTATTATTATATATATATCTTTATATATATCTTATATATCTTTATTATTATTTATATAGGACTTCTCAGACCATTTGATAAATGAATGGGCATTCTGAAGTTCCCAGAAGAGTATGAAAAATACAGCATTTCCCAAACTTATTTAATCAAAGAATGTTTTCTCCTAGAACACCTCTCAAATTGAATATGACTCTTTGGGGAAAAAAAGGAGTGGAACACAAGGCGTGAAAGTGTATAGAGGACAATGAAAAGGAAATAACAGGCTAAGATCATAGAAGACTCCAGTGCCATGTCTTCAAATGGCACGTCTAGTTTCAACTTTTATTTTGTGGGAAGCTATTAAAGATTTTAAGTGGGAGAGGTATAGAATCAATTCCATGGGCTTCAAAGATAATAGTGGCAGTAAAGCGAGAAGATACTGGATGGGGGAATGGGTGTTGAAAAGCAAGAGAGAGAGAACAGTAGATCAGGGATCATTCAGTGACTGCAGTCACCCTAACGTGCAGATGGAAAGGCTTAATTTGAGCAATGACAACAAGCATAAGACAATTAAGCAGGCTCAAGAACAAATAAATGTGCCAGTTGGTCAATAAACACTGGTGATAGATAAACACACTTGTCATATTTTTAAGTAGCTATGTACTACCATTCTATAGTTTCTAATTAAACTTACTTCAGGGAACCTAGGTAGCTCAGTTGGTTAAGCATCTGATTTCGGCTCGGGTCGTGATCTCATGGTTCTTGAGTTCCAGTTCTGCATCAAGTGAACTCGAGTCCCGCTTTGGGTAAACATGAACCCTGCTTCGGGTGAGTCCCACTTCTTTCTCTCTCTCCCGCTCTCCCTCTCTCTCCCTCTCTCTCTGTCCCTGCCCCTCATGGGATTCTCTTTCTCTCTCCCACCCTCGCTCACTTGTGCCCTCTTTCTCTCAATTCAAACAAACAAACAAACTTACTTCAAATCCGGAATTCAATATTATCAGCAAATACAAGATGAAAGAGGCAGCACAGAAGTGCTAGAGAGAAATACTTAGAGAGGGTTGGAAAGGAGCCCATACAATCACATTTGGATAGCAATGCCCAATTTTTATTTATGTGAATTTCCATTTGAGATGTCTTGATCCTATATCTGCAGAGCAAAAATTGTATCTTTACGTAGAACCTTATGTTTATTTGGTGGTTGTCTGTGAAGGGGCTGATGAAGATTTAGGGGAAGTCAAAATCTCCCCATCTGAGCACCCCCTTGCCTCGGCAATTAAATTAACTTGCAACGTTTTAAAAACCTAATGTTTTTGTGAAATCAATTGGCTTTGTATGCTTTGTTATCTGCCACCAAAGTGTCAAAGATAATAATGGCCATATGAAAATGTTTTGACTCGTGGGGCGCCTGGGTGGCTCAGTTGGTTAAACGTCTGACTTTGGCTCAGATCATGATCTAGCAGTTCGTGGGTTTGAGCCCCACTTCAGGCTCTGTGCTGACAGCTCAGAGCCCGCAGCCTGCTTTGGATTCTGTCTCTCTCTCTCTCTCTCTCTGTGTGTTCCTCCCCTGCCCGTGCTCTGTCTCTTTTATTTGGAAAAATAAGCACAAAAAAGGGAGGTGAACAGGCAATGAATTAAGCATGACAATCTGTTATTGAACTTCATTTACATCTATGATTTCTACAGGAGATTTTATCACGCAGTCTGTGCTAAGCTGAATAATGTGGCCCCCCCCCCATATATGCACATCCCAATCCCAAATACCCATGAATGTTATTTTATATAGCAAAAGGAACTTTGCAGATGCGATCAAGGTAAGGATCGTAACATGAAGATTATTCTGGATTATCTGGATGGGCCCAACACAATCACAATGGTCCTCCCACAGAAGTGAGAGTCAGAGAAGGTGATGTGATGACAGAAGCAGAGACTAATGTGACATGCTTTGGACTGGGAGAATACAGACAGCCAACAGAAGCTGGAAAAGACAAGGGAGTGCTTTCTTTCCTACAGCATCCAAGGGGAACCAGGGGCCTTGAAACCTTGACTTAAACTCAGTGACACTGTTGGCCTTCTGACCTCCAAAAGAGGTCATTTGTGTTGTCTTAAGCCATTAAATTTGTGGTGATTTTTTACTGCAGCAATAGGAAACTAATATAACACCCCTGTGAAATGTTTATCAAACCTGATGCACATCAGAATCATCGAGGCAGTCCGTTAAAAATATAGATCCTTGGATCACCATTCCGAGAAATTCTGACTCCCTCGGTCTGTGATGAGACACAGAACTCTAAACTTTTTAAGAAGCTTCTGGGATGATTATTATGCTGCAAACCAGAGTGTATGTCAGAAGAAGAGTGACTGGGGGAAATTCACCGCCTGCATTGGTTTCCTGGGGTCACCATATCAACTTACCACAAACTTGAAATCTTAAAACAGCAAAGATATATTCTTTCACAGTTCGGGAAATCAGAAGTCCGAAATCAGTTTCACTGAGCCAGAATCAATGTACCCACAGGGCTACTTTTGCTGCAGAAGCTCTAAGAGAGAATCTGCTCCCTGCCTCTTCCACGTTCTGGCAGCTGCAGGCATTCCTGGACTCAGGGCCACAAGGCTCCAATCTCAGCCTCCGTGGTCACACTGCCTCCTCTCCTGTGCACACCAAATCTCTCTCCGCTTCTCTCCCATAAAGACACTGGTGATTGGAATTAGGACCCACCTGAATAATCCAGGACAATCATCTCATCTCACGACCCTTAGTTTAGTCACCTTCGCAAAAATTTCCTTATAAAGTAATACTTATGGGTTCCAGGAATTAAAACCTGGTATCTTTGGAGGGCCATTATTCAGCCTATTACGATCCCTTAGTGCCCTTCAAGGTAAATTAGGGGTGAAGACAATGGAGCCAAAGCAGACTTTCCAAAAAGACTAAAATCTTTTTATATTCAAATCCCCTTTTGACCCCTCACAAATTACAATTACGCTATTAAAAAACAACCAGTCTCACTGGAGTACTCTGATGACTAATGAGGTTGTGATAAGCAGGGAATTGGGGGATTAAAGGAAGAAGTTGGTCCTTAGGATTCCGTAGCATTTTCATTATGAGATTATACGCCCCTTTTAAAACCTGGCTTCTCACAAGGGTGCTTCCGAGCATAAAAACGTTGCCAACAAAGGAATCTTTATGAAAAGTTTCTATCACAGAGGAATTTACTACATGTGACCACACAAACAGATTACAAGAAATGTTTGTCGAGCAGTTATTTTATGCCAAAGCATATTTCAAATTTAAATAAATTCAAGATTCCGTGCCCCCCACCCCCCAGCGTTTTCACTCTAAGCAATCAAACAATTGAGACTCCTTGGTTCACTCACAAGAGCATCCTTGTCCTGTTTGGCTTTTTAAGGCACTTCAGGTAAATAATCCAGAAGAGAGATTATCTTGAAGTCACAAAGAACACACACGGGAATTCAAACAATGGCCTAAGACGTGTGTATAGTGTGTGGTGATGTTCCACAGAAATAAGTAACAGAAATTTTATTTTCAAAAAAACGTCCTTACTTTCGGAAATGGCAAGTACTGATGCTAATATTTTTCCAGCACCCCTGTACAATAAGGCTTAAGGCCTTTCCTATCTTTTTCTTAAATGTACATTTTTATATCCCATCCCCTAAAAAACATTTCTAGTTCCACATTCTTTCATTATATTCTCCACTCAAAATCTAAATGACCGTCTCCCCTTTATTTATTTCTTTGATGTTTATTTATTTTTGAGAGACAGAGTGTGAGTGGGAGAAGGGCAGAGAGAGAGGGAAACACAGCAGACTCCAGGCTCTGAGCTGTCAGCACAGGCCCAACACGGGGCTTGAACCCAAGAACTGTGAGATCATGACCTGAGCCAAAGTTGGACACTTAACTGACTGAGCCACCCAGGAGCCCCAATAACCATCCCCCTAAAATAATCCATGCCTTGGCGAAATTTCACGACCTAATTTTCACTTTAGCAGGTCATTATTCCACCCTTTGAATAGCTTTGGGAAAAAAAAATAAAAACTTTCTAATTCATTCCACACTTTTCTTGCCTATAAGGTATTTTTCACTTATTTGAATTCCCTTAGTAGTACTGGCTCCAAATTGTGCTGTCAGTGCTCTGGGCTATCTGCCAGCCTATGTCCCTTAAAATTCTCAGAGCAATAGTGTTGGCTAATAACCAACCAATAGTCTAATAAATAATATGCATGATAGCTAACAGTGTTAGCTAATAAGCAACTAATTATAGTGCTAAGAACCACTTCATCAGAACCACCCAGGAAGCTTGCTAAAATGCAGATTCCAAAGCCTTACCTCAGACCTATGAAATATAATTTCTGAGACAATAATTCAGGAATTTGTACTTTTCACAAACACAATGGAACCACTAGTAAATTAGAATCCAATCCAATCTAACACTTGGGAATACCCACTCGGCACATTCTCTTCTCCTTATACCCAAGTTTTGATGGCTGAATTGCACTTCTGCGGAAATAAAGTAGTTTTGGTTAGTGTCTCAAAGCATCATCCACACGTAACTCAGGAACCTGTTGTACCTTAACTGTACCTTATTGTACCCTTAAATGCTCACTCCATTTTTATGTTCTTAAATTCCTATCCAATTTTATTCTTCCTTTTTCAATTAACATAACTCCATCATTTCCTGGAGAAATCCGCCCTTATTTACTCCTCATTTTCAGTGTCCGGTTCCATTTTCTAGAGACTTCACCATAGTGCCCTTATCCCAGTCCACACACAGGAGGGTGGGTAGACAATGAAAAATCAAATATCTACAAGATATATTATTTGGAAAAGTGTTTGTTGTTGTTGTTGTTGTTGTTGTTGTATTTTGTTTTGTTTTGTTTACAAATGGAGCAAGAGAAGGTAGCAATTAATCTACTGTGAACATATTTGGGACCGCAAAATTTACCAGCAGGACCTAATTTCCCCTTGGTTAGCATAATAGAGACCAAAGACAAGAGGATTATTCTTAGAGGGAGAAAAATCTAGTTCTGTGTTCTGTGACACAGGGAACTTCACTCTTAACTATCTAGAGATTTTTAGTCGCTATAACAACATGAGTGCAATTTAATCTTGTTCAATTTTTCTGTGGATAAACATTTTTTTCCAAAAGGACGTTAACTTATCCAACACAGACACAACTCCTCACAAAATGCCAGTGACAGGAGCAATTACCATCCATGCTCCTTGCACTAAAATAGTGGAACCTCGTGGGCAGGACACTGAGAAAGAAAACCTGGTTGTAACTGGGACAGAGAACACATTTTGCTTCGCACAAAGTGAAACTCCTACATTCAAACTGTCTTGTTAAAGTGCTTCACGGCAGAGTGTTGTTGGCCAATTTACATGGCATTTGGATTTGAAGTTATATGCCATTTGGGGAAGATTACTATAATTAGAAAAATGGCCTAATTACTTTTCTGGCAACAGTGAAGAAAGAGAACAGACTTTTCGGCTTATGGAGACAAGTCCTTGAGAAACCTCAAAAGGTTTTGGGATCCTGTTTGACAGGAAAGAATATCTCATCTGAACTTCTTGGATCTGTTAAAAACCAAGCTTTTTTTTTTTTTTTTTTTTTGAAAAGCCAAACCACAAGACAGGGAGAAAGAAAGAAAACACACACACACACACACACACACACACACACACACACACACACAGAAAGCAAGAAAAATACTCCTTCCTATTGGATTTTGAAACAGAGATGACAGGAACAGTCTTTTCCGCTGTGCTGCAAGCTTCATCTGCCAGTCCTTGTAAGAAGCACAAACAGGAAATGATGGGCATGAGAGGGAAAAGTGTGGATTCTCAATGACAACACTTGGAAGATGGTTTCACATGAACATCGTTTGATGGCTTTGTCTGCCTCAACAGCAAAGAACATAACGTTACAACTTCAGTGGTTCAAAGAGAAGCTTCTATTATTTGAGTCATCAAGTTAACACTTATGATAGAAAAGGCAAAGTCACACTAAGTTCCTCCTTTTCTGTGCTGAGAGAGGGAGACAAGGCTGCACTCAACTGAACACCCATTCTCCTGGCCTCCGTCTTACAGGACGCTGCCTTTCGCCTGAGGAAAAGTAGAACAGTGAGAGCTTTGTTAGAGGAAAATGACCCAAGGCTTTTGCTATTTCCACTCTATTTCCTGAACTCAGCAATTGGAAAACCTGCACTCGATCAACCATGTCTTCACAAAAATACAATTTAAAACTGTCATGAATTTTTTTTAATGTAAGGGTAAAATCAGGATAGTGAAATAACTTCAAAACGTGCATTTTGAGGGGAGAGAGGCGAGAGTGGTATCTGGGGAGAAGCATAAAGGGTTATTAAATGGTGACTGTTTTCAAGTCATGAGCTGTCTAATGAAAATGTTCCCTTGGTCAACGTGGCTCTTGTTATACTGTTTCCTATCATTACTATCATCCCCAAAGTTCCCCCACCCCACTTCCAAGGCACTTTATCTGACACAGAAAGGGGAAGCTGATTTCAGGATGTGTTAAAAGTGAAGGGGCAGCCCCATCCGTCCTTCACCTGTCTTAGAAGAGTCCCCATAGAAAGGCCCCTTTGATCTAGAATCTCAGAGTTTGTTTTTCTTCAACAGCCTAAACGGAAAATGGAAATGCATATAAAAATACTGCCCCCTCCTATAGTGGTTTTGGATCTTGTCCAATTTCAGCCTGGCCTTCAAAGATCATCTGTCGAATTGTTTCTTACTTGATGATAAGTTCATACAAGTGAGCATTTTAAAAAGCATGTGTATTGTCCCAACAAGGTTCTCATTAATTTTATCTTCTGGAAAAAAGGATTTGGTGTATGGTATTGCAGCAGTAACCAAGTAAATCTGGTGTTCTTTTGGCAATAATCCATTCCTTTGGAAGAAAGGGAAAATCTACCATTACACAACCTAGGTTAATCTTTGGTGTGTATTATGTTAACTATTGGAAATACAACCCTTTATTTTATTTTATTTTATTTTTTATTTATATATGAAATTTATTGTCAAATTGGTTTCCATACAACACCCAGTGCTCATCCCAAAAGGTGCCCTCCTCAATACCCATCACCCACCCTCTCCTCCCTCCCACCCCCCATCAACCCTTAGTTTCTTCTCACTTCTCAACAGTCTCTTATGCTTTGGCTCTCTCCCACTCTAACCTCTTTTTTATTTTTTTCCTTCCCCTCCCCCATGGGTTCCTGTTCAGTTTCTCAGGATCCACATAAGAGTGAAACCATATGGTATCTATCTTTCTCTGTATGGCTTATTTCACTTAGCATCACACTCTCCAGTTCCATCCACGTTGCTACAAAAGGCCATATTTCATTTTTTCTCATTGCCACGTAGTATTCCATTGTGTATATAAACCACAATTTCTTTATCCATTCATCAGTTGATGGACATTTAGGCTCTTTCCATAATTTGGCTATTGTTGAGAGTGCTGCTATGAACATTGGGGTACAAGTGCCCCTATGCATCAGTACTCCTGTGTCCCTTGGATAAATTCCTAGCAGTGCTATTGCTGGGTCATAGGGTAGGTCTATTTTTAATTTTCTGAGGAACCTCCACACTGCTTTCTAGAGCGGCTGCACCAATTTGCATTCCCACTAACAGTGCAAGAGGGTTCCCGTTTCTCCACATCCTCTCCAGCATCTAGAGTCTCCTGATTTGTTCATTTTGGCCACTCTGACTGGCGTGAGGTGATACCTGAGTGTGGTTTTGATTTGTGGAAATACAACCCTTTAATGTAAGGTATATAACATAGCACATGGGTTCTTTATAAAGACACAGATTAAGAATTCTTTTCAATGAGAGGAATATAGGTCTTTTTAATTAAGCTGCTCTGAACAGAGATGGATCAAGAATTCATCTTGGGTCAAGAATTCTAAAACCAAATTCTTATGGATTGAATTAGGTCTCTTCAAAATCCATATGTTGAAGCCCTAACCCTGGTACCTCAAAATGTGACTGTATTTGTATTTGACAGATCTTTAAAAAGGTAATTAAGTTGAAATTAGGCCATTAGAGTAGGCTCTAATACAATCTTTTAAGAGGAGTTTCATTTTTTAATAAAAAAAAATTAATCTTTATTCTTGAGAGAGAGAGAGAGAGAGACAGAGTGTGAGCAGGGGAGGGGCAGAGAGAGAGGGAGACACAGAATCCAAAGCAGGCTCCAGGCTCTGAGCTGTCAGCACAGAGCCCAACATGGGGCTCGAACTCATGAACCGCAAGATCATGACCTGAACCGAAGTCAGATACTTAACCAACTGAGCCACCAAGGAACCCCAAGAGGAAATTTAAACACACAGAGACATGAGGGATGTACACCACAGAGGAAAGATCACATGAGGATATGGCAAAAAGGTGGCCATCTACAAGCCAAGGAGAGTGGCCTCAAAGAGAGAGCAACCCCACCGGCACCTTGATCTTGGACTCCTAACCTCCAGAACTGTGAGAAAACACACTTCTGTTGTTTCCACCACCTAGTCTATGGTTATTTTGCTATGGTAGCCTAAGCAGACTAAGACACAAACCATCAAGTAAAAGCAGTAATCTCAAATCCAGACCCTGATAGTAGACTGGAGTTGATAATACAAACAGCTAGTATAAAACAGACAGCAGGAGTAACATCAGGAACACAGGAGAAGAGAGTCAGGCTGCCAAGCGACAGCAAGAGGCAAAAGAAGTAAACATCTTGACTTCCAAGGTATGAAGTGTAAGGTAGGGAGATACAGCTTTTTCCTCTATCAGATGAGGATTCTGTTAAATGCAGTGCTAAAATGTATCAGATTGATTCTGTGATAGAAGGGAGAAGAGCCCCCCAGGCTTGGATTTCATGAGATGTTGGTAAAGCAAGATCTTTTGGTACTGGGAGAGAATTAGGCAAAAGAGGACATAAGTTCTCATTAAGGCATCACTAGAGAAATCTCAATTGTTACAACAGGGATCAAAGCTGATAGAATTATCCCAGGGAGAGGAGGGGAGAGAGGGAGAAGGACAGGGAGAGGGAGAGGGAGAGGGAGAGGGGGGAGAGAGAGAGAGAGAGAGAGAGAGAGAGAGAGAGAGAGAGAGAGAACGAACCAGGGAAGTAAGTGAAATACAAACCTGGTTAGACTAAGAAAGTTCCCAGATTTTTTTTTTCTGTATCAGGAAGGAGAGCACTTGGTGATTAAGTTGATTAATATTATACTTTCTCACTCCTAAGTCTGTGAAATTTCTTTCATCTACACAATATCTGAAACCTCTTCTCAGAGGTATATTTAAGTATGTAATGTAAAATATTTTATTTTTGTCTCTTTTCCATTTGACTATGTCTGTATTGCTTACTCCCCAGGCTCATTATTTTATTCTATACCATGTGGACTATTTTTTTTTAAATGCCAAACTCACTACTTCTCTAAAATACACAATTTTGAAGCTTGAGGGCTTTTGTTACGGTGCTGTTTTACTTACGACCCTCTCTCAACATT